AAGCAGTTATCCTAGAAAGCTGTAAGGCAAGTATTTTAGGGCTTTAGTCACATATGTGTCATACACTTCAAAGCTCTACACTTTTGGAGGACTTCCTGGAGCCAGTGTTCTAAGTTAGTATTCTCCCAGTTAAACAGAAGCTAATGAGAAGCATAACACTGTATGCACTATATAAGAAGTTTGGCAAAACATCACATGTATTGACCCTACATTAAAAAAAAATCATAATAGCATTAAATCATTCTAAACTTCTAACATCCATTCATAAGAATACTCTCACTCTTTCATCAAAAAACCACATGTCATTCTGATTCATGAATAGTGCTAAAAGTATACATTTGACAGAATGTATCTGAACTTGACCCAGACACTTAAATATTTTCATAATTTCAGGAGCAAAAGGAAAACAGGCAAAAATCTCTTGACTGTAATACAGTCTGCTTTGAACAAATGGCTTGGATGCAAGCAGTAGGTGGCAAAGTTAAAATAGAAATGTTAATCCTATGAGAGTCCTTGCCTACTGTTTTATAGCTTTTCATAAATATTTTTTTAAAGGAATAAAGAACATAAAAATACCCACATGGAATAAAACAAAACACTGATTTTAATGTATATATTTTTTTCAATCTGTGAATATTTTTATAGGCAGTAGTAGCAGGAGTAGCCATAGTGGGAAAATAATTAAATAAACTTAGTTTTCAGTTTAAGTTTTAACAAAACATCAAGATTTTTAAACTCAATATAAATGAAGAATCATTAATTTTAGACAAACTTATGAATTCTCACATTACATTTAAAACAGCCTTAGTTCTTCTAAAATTTCTCAATTATCAATCAAAATAGGGGTCAGCAAACTATTTTCTGTAAAATGCCAAAAAATGTGTATTTCAGCCTTTCCTGACTAAAAGGTCTCAGTGGCAACTACTCAGCACTGCCACAAAAGCAGCCACAGACAAAATGTAAATGAGTGGGCGTGGTTGTATTCTAGAAAAGTTTTATTTATAAACATTGAAATCTAAGACTCTTATACTTTTTGCTAATCATCAAATATTCTTCTGCTTTTTTCAACAATTTAAAAATGTAAAAAACCCATACAGAGCTTCCTACCTTCCTTCTTCTCTTCTTTCCTCCCTTCCTTCCTCCCGTCCTTCCCCTTCCCTCTATCTCTTTCTTATTTCTTTTTTCATTTGTTTATTTTTCTTGCTTGACATCTGGCAGCACACAAAATATTATTCAGGACAGTTCAATAAGAGTAAAAGGCCAACATCTCAAATTTAGCCAGAGTTGTACATTTCAAGGATAATGGGCTCATTCTAATAGTTATCAGGCAAGAAGCCCACACAACTGCCATGGAGATACTGTGAGCTACAAAATCATCCATAATACTGAAAGTGAATACAATTATATGCTAGCCTACTTGCACTCCAATGAACTATTACATAAGTCTTTCCTATGGCATCTGCTTTGACAACTAATGTTTTCATTGAGTTTCCCTGAATTTTCTATGATGATATAGAAGAAGGAAAACCATAAAAGAAACTTTCCTTATCGTGGCAAATAATTGGAACATCATTATTTGTTTACAATAGCTGAAGAACTCTCTGGCATGTGGGCATTTGGCAATGTCCAAGAAATGTTATACGCTCCCCAAGACATATGGATATACAAAGCCAATAAATCTTGAGACAATAGCCTGTGATTCTCCAAGATCCAGTTCAGAAGAGGCTATTTTGTTTCATTCTTAGTAACAAATAAGAACAATCTACTCTCTTTGGAAGAAATTTTACCAGTAATCCAAAAAACTACTATATCAATAAAAGTTTTATACCAAATGCTCGTTGTTAGGGTTTCAGGTAAATTGAAATTGTTGTTAAAAATAATACTGCAGGCTGACATGCCATTGAGGATAAGGTCCAATGGCTGAGTGAGTTAGTATCTCCTCAAAAAGATGCTGTTGGCAGAGGCACTGCCACCGCACATACTTTTCTATTAAGACAGAACCCAGCCGGGCTCAGTGGCTCAGCCTGTAATCCCGCGCCTTTGGGAGGCTGAGGTGAGTGGATTGCCTGAGCCCGCGGGTTCGAGACCCGCCTGGGCAGCGAGACCACATCTCTACAATAAATCAAAAATCAGCCGGGTGTGGTAGCTCATGCCTGTAATTCCGGCTACTTGGAAGGCTGAGGCGGAAGGATCGCCGGAGCCCAGCAGGTGGAGGCTGCGGTGGCTGGGAGCGGCCACTGCACTCCAGTCTGGGCGACAGAGTGAGACTCCAACTCAAAAAAAAAAAAAAAAAAAAGACAGAACCCTCAAGAGACTCATGTGGCTTTTTAAGCAATCGTTACTGCAACTTTCCACTACAATTACAAACATATGCCAAATATTGTTTTTGAAAATGATACACGTGTTTAAATACAAACATAAAAAGTCTATGTAAAGGTGCCAGAAACTTACATGCTAAGAAAAGCCAAAGAATTTGTGCAGAAGCATGTTTTTCTACTTTCTATCTGAATAAACATTGCTGGGAAGTTTATAAGGGCTTAAAAATTTCATCCATGAAATCTACATATTTTATGTATATTTTCATGGAAAAAAAAAACAATTATGGCATCAAAGTCCACCTTTAAGACAGGCTTCATAAAAAAGAAAGAAAAGAAAAGAGTTATCTTTTCTGGGTAAGTTGAGACATTAAAGAGAAGTATGACTCCAAATTACCACTTAGCTTCAGGAAATTTTTTAAAATATGCAAACTCCACCTTGAATGATCTAAGTTTAGGCAATTCTTTGTAATCATTTACATGAAGGTTGTATCTGTAGCGAACACAGCTTATGTGCAAATTAAGATTAGCTTTTAAGTCATTTGTGAATTCATTTCATTACATGAGTAACAATGGAATAGATATGATTTTCAATTTATCTTGACAAATATTTATTGAGCTTACTAGGTACTATAATATGCCTAGAGACAAATTACATATCAAGGAAAGACAGAAACTTGAGAGAAATGTGCAGTAATGAATACAAATATGCAAGACTGGATTAAGTACTGGTTATAAAGTTTCAGAAGAAGATAAAGAGTGTGAAGCATGATGTTTGAAATGTGGATCAAATAGTGAGCTGTAAATGCAAATATTAAGCACAGGAGATGGCAAGGACTTACTATCTACCTTTGGGATTTGTTTGCACAGAACAGATAATTGAAGCTGAATGAATAATGAGATGGCCAAATCATATATTTAAAAAGAGGACCATGGACAGAACCTCTGGGAATACTCACACGTGTGGGCAGGAGGAAATCAGCTAATGAAGAAGAGAGTGCCAATGAAATTGGGAAATGTGTGACACATGGCCGAAGCAACAGGCAAAGAGAGATTCTGCAACCAGATGATGCAGAGGAGAGAAAGGTACTTCAGTGGTTAAAAGACTGTTTTTCTTATTATAAGAACATTTGAAACCTTGGTGACATCAGTAATACAGCAGAAGTGACAGCAGGTAAAGATGTCTATCTAGTTTCACGTCCCAGCACAAAGTTTATAAGCCAAGGGATTCAGTGGAGTATGAAAAAGAAGAATAAAGTCAGTAAGAATATAATTGATAACACAGGTCCTGGAGATGGCAGGATGAGATACAAATTGAGAGCAGAGTGAGGGATCATTAGTGTGGAAAGTAAGATTTTTTCCTCAGATGTCAGGCAAGCAGCAAGAGGATTCATGAAAATGCAGATATGTCCAAGTGTGGGAAAGGATGCCAAACTGCAGTACATTTTACAAGAGTCTCAATCTCAGACCAGTACAAGTTGAAATTATATGAGAAGGAAACATTCAGATCTGGGGATTTGGGGAGAAGGAAACATTCAGATCTGGGGATTTCAGTTTAAGTTTGAAAAAGGATAAAATAAGAACTTTATGAGAAAAGCACACTTTGGAAATTTTATTTAGCCAAGAAAAAGTATACACATCTTAAATTGATTGAAGTCTGAGTGCAATACATTCCTCACTCCAGAATACATATTCCACTGCTACCATATTTTATAATGACTTTGACAGATGTATTTTATATCTATTTCCTAATCTAGTATGGAAATTACCTAATTTCATAGAGTAGTTCTAATATTGCAATAAGATATATTGTAAAGAGTGTTATTATAAGTGAAGAGATTTTATCACTGCCTACACAGTAGTGAGGGGTATTTGAAATATGTTTTTAATTACTGCCAGACTGGCAAACCAGGGTTTCTTTCTCATGTCTAGTGGTTCTCTAATTTTAGTGTGCATAAGAATTACCTAGGGCTTGTTACAACACAGTTGACTAGGTCTTATCCCTAAAATTTTGGATGTGGAGCCTGAGAATTTGTATTTCTAGCAAATTCTTTGTAATATTATTTTGCTAGATCAGGTACCACACCATGATAACCACTGCTTTAGAGCATACAAAGCTAATCATTCCACACTGTGCAGATCTATAAGCAAGAGTGTTTTCACCCAACTTCTATTAAAGTACATTAGAATTTTTAGATGCATTAAAATAGTACCATTAATATTTCCAAAAAATTATATGTATTTGAATATAGTCAACTTCCAGATTTATATAAAATGTTATTTCTCTTTATCATCACCCTTAGAAAATGGCTGTGTATATTTATTAAGAAGTCACAGTTTGCTTCAGTAGCAGGAATACTTACCTGTACATTTTTTTCTTCCCCTAATTCAACTCACTATATTCATATTTCATTATAATTTGTGCCAGAAAGGCTTCTAGATACTTTACAAATATATATAAAAGTATTTGTTCCTCACAATAACCCTATAAGTTAATTTATTTTATTAACTTTATTTTGCTGAAGTGGAATCTGAGGCAAAGAGAGATTAAATACCTCACTAAGGACCAGGCAGAAGTAAACATTGGCATTTTTCTAGTTTCAATACTATGGCCCTTTCCTACTACCAATATTATAGTACACTCTTTAGTATACATTAAAGTATAACTTGAGCTCAAATATTTACCTGTTCCAAGAAACAGGACGTGGTATCGACCATCAGCAGCATTCACTCGGTCCACCGCTATCTTTGTATACTTGTAGTCAGTTCCTATACGAACAATCAGAGGCCTTCTGTGGACTGGGTAGATGGAATTGTACATGAGAGGATGGTTTCGAATAAAAGTGACAACATCATCTGGGAACTCCTTGGTGGTTCGCATATTGGGTGTAAATGCTCCTCCTGGACACTGAAAAAGTTTTTTTTAAATCATGTTAATTTTTTAAAATTTAGTTTGTTTTAATAATAATCAAAAGCCCTCTACTCTTCAAAACACTCAGAAGTTCCAATCTGTTTTAGGCATACTTGCTACCCATTGAAGGAAAAATGAATAGCATGACTGTATGTATTAAAATTTGGAGAAAATTAATACACAGTGTATATAATTTGATGATTTAAATGAGGCTAAGTCCACTTATCTTAGTCTATTTTTTTTCAGAGAGAAGCTGATGCCACCTTGTATATGCGATAACTCTTCACCTTTCTCATTCATCATTTTTCCATGTGTTATTTTGTGCCAGACACTACATTGTTAGAAAAGCAAACAAACAAAAAAACTTGTGGACACAATCTAATGCTGTCACTAGTCAAACTAAATTAGATTACATTATCAAATTCAATCTGAACTCTTATGTGTAAGAATTTTATTTCACCTGATCTGCCTTCCAAAAAGAGCTCAGAAGTTGGAGCTTAGATTGGATGAAATGAGATTTGATAAATTTCCTCTATAAAAGACTCCAACTATATTCATTATTCTTAGAATAAAATTCCTACAGCTTAGAATGGCCTACAAGGCTCAGCATGACCCGGCCTGAGCCTGCCACTCCCACTGTAGTTCTTGCTGTTCCTGAACCTCAGGCGTGCTTTCCCTCCAGGATCTTGGCACTTGCTGTTCCCGTCTGGCATACTCCTCTCCAGACCACCTCATCGCTTTCGCTGTTACCTCATTCAATTCTTAGTTCAAAAGTTATTTCCTGAAAGGTGATGACACATGTAAAAATAGATCCCCCTCTCCATCTCTACTTTCTGTCTCCCTGGCCTGCTATTTTTTTTCACAGCTCTCATTTACCTAATGGTACATTATACAAGAGGACCACAAAAAACTCAGAATCATTTTTTGAAGGGCAAGCCCCCTTGTAATACAGGACTTCTTTGCTAGGTAAGTGTTGTAGGAACCCACCGGCATCAGTGTATCAGTTAGCATTGTTGTGAGAGGCTGCCCCCAGCTACAGTGATTTTTTCTTTTTTTTGAGATTCTTCCAACGCATTTGCCCATTTCATGATGGGTGATTTACACGTGTGCTCCTGCCCACACTGTGCTGAGTGTTCAGCAGCTTTTGACTAAAAACAGCATGACCTCTGTGCCCCACCCTCCCTATTCACTGGATCTCACCCAGAGAAACTTGCTTTTTTATCTTCCTCGATCAAAAAATCCTCAAAGGGAAACATTTTGCCAATGCGGAAGAGGTCAAACAAACAAACAAACAAAAAACAGCAGAAGCACTAAAGGGCATCAAAACTGACAAGTTCAAAAACTGTTTTGAGCAGTGAAAAAAGAGTCTCAATAAAAGTATTGCATTAATGGAGAGTGCTTTGAAGGTAACCGAAGTTTAAACATGTAAGAATAAATACACTTTTTAAAATAAATATATATAAATTCCGAGTTTTTTTGGAGGGCTCTTCCTCATATATTAGTTGCTTGTTTCTAATTCTCCCTCTAGAATGTAAGTCATGTGTTGACCATAACAAGATCTATTTTGTTATTGTTTTGCTGGCACACTTATGACAAAGCTGGTAAAAGTAGATATTCAGCAAAAATGAATGAATATTATATTCATATATACCATTATATCAATCTTTGTACCTTGCCTGCGATTTTGGTGCAGAAGCTGTATGAAACAGTCAGTTCTGGCCAGGAGAGGCAAGCAGAAAGTAATAATGAGATCTGAAAAAAAGGACTGCAGGACAGAGTCAGCAGCACCGGAAAGGGAACCTGACAAGGGCTTCTGAGATGAAGGTTCCATTTATAGGGCACCTAAGGCCAAACTTAAGGGCAAACTGGAACTGCTGAAGCTCGGAACTCAAAATCACTCACTTGAGTGTTATGTTATATGAGCAAAACTATTGGGTATAATATCTTAAGGCATATAAACATTACTTGCCTAAGCCTATCAAATACCTCTCAATATTTCTACTTCTAGAAACAAAAATATCATGCAACATTTTTTCTTGAAACACACAACATGTTTCTTCTAGTTTTCATTTATCCTTTTTAGAGAGGTACAAGGGAAAGGAAAGCAAGCTCCTAGATCAATAGCAAGGGTCACAGCATCAGGGGTAAAGAGTAGGAGGTTATAAGGACTGTGACAGACTGGTAAATCATGTATCACTTAAAGATGGCATTGAACACTTGTTTCCAGCTGATCGCTCCTAAGTGAGGATATAAACCCAGTGCTGCCACATTTCAGCAGAAGATATGAATTTTATGTTAAATTTGCCAGAGTTATAAAGTTCACTCAGTCAAAATAAACACACAGGCACAACAAATTTTTTTTGGTGGGGGGGGCAAACTAAATATGACAGTGTCTAGGTTAAATCCTTGCAACAACTATCCCACTGTAAGAGTGTCTTTGGGCCAGTATTGCCAGGCATATCCCCCATATGTAAATATGTTTCTCCAGATTACAGATGTTACCTCCATCATCTAGATTTCATCATCAATTTTTAGGTTACCTTTGACTAAACATTTCTAGAACTTTTTATAGGATAAATATAGTTCTCTTTTTGTAGAAAACACAAGGAGCAATTAAATGACAACAGAGAAGAAATAATGAGATGAGTAATAAAACTAAGACTCTCACTCATTATTCCATTAACTAGACTTTCATCTGGAGTTCATATGTTCTTCTTTTAAGAAAAAGCATGACGTTCAAATATGCATGTGTATAAACTGTCCACAAAGAAGAACAAAATAAGGACAGATAATTTAATTTGAGGTTGTTCTAAGCTGATGGATATGTTTCATACTTCTGCAAAATATCGAATTAAGGGTGTTTTCTGCCCTCAATCGCCACACAAAGTGGAAAAAGGGAAATACATAGCTCACTGCATGAAAACATGGAAAGAACAATGCATGGGCAATTCAAATAATGCCAGACTTTCATAAAACACCACTAATTATGGTTTGCTAAGATATGTCTACTTAAGTATTTGCAAGCATTTTTATTTGTAAGTTCCATAAAAATCCAAAGTTAGCATATACTTTTAGGCAATTTATATACTTTCCAGTTATTATAGTTTGGTGTGTCATAAGATTATTAAGTTATTAGTGTCTAGTTTCTGGTTTTTGATTAAAGGTAATTAAAATTCAGATTAAAATTTCATTAAGGTTGCTCAAAACCATAGTTATTAACTAGGTAACCTGATCAATTCAAATCAAATCAGATGTTTTACATCATTCAAGTATCCCCCATTTGGGACTTTTGCTTTACATTCACAATGAACTTCTCACTTAGAAGCAAGCATCTTCTATTGTGAGTTTATTTTCAAATTTGTCAAAGAATTATTTCTGATAATAATTAATTCTTCCATTGATTCAAGGAAAAAACTTTGCCAACAGGACACAGAATGAGTGATAATAAAACTGATTAACCTTTGAAGACTCTGTCCACACTAGTGAGTTTACTTAGGGTAACAGGGTCAAGTATAAATAAGATGGGATTACTTTTTCCCTTACCTTGGGATATAATAAAGCATGTGTATTAAAACCTCAAGACAATATAATATCTACATGTTATCATAAAATAAAAGCATGTGTCCATTAATTAAGTTATAGCTCATTCTTCAGATGGCTAATTTTACTCTACAATCATTAAATAATTTTGGCTAAACTTTTCCTTCATGTGTTTGTTTTTCTAAAGTTCTTTTAGCTGTTTATCAAGCAGTGATAAGCACTCCTTTTTCAAGTAAAGACATTTAAAGTGTTTTGATTACTGAAGTGTGAGATGAAATGTTAGGGGTAAAAAGGATGACTTGTTAAGGAAGTAACAGCAATGGCTGCTATTCCCTAACTTCTTTCCTATACTCAGTATTCATAAACAACTGCTGCCTTCTGAAGCTCTTACCTGTTCTTTTAAATCTTTATGTCTGCTATACTAGTTCAATAATTAATATATTTACATATTAATATGTGTGTTCATTCTCTGGATATATTTTATTTAAAAAGCACTTTGATGTACCCAGTAGAAGACAGAATAAGAAGCTACTATTGTCATTTAGACACAAATATTCTGGTAAGAAAGATGGACATAAAGCAAAATAACAATGAAGACATACAGTAATCTTATGAGAAAAATATAAAATAAATAACCAAGCTTGGTTTAAGATCAATTGCCCTGTATACTCAACAGACAATAGTTTTTTTAATGAATTTAGAATATTGGAGAATTTAAGGGTGCCAGGGTCAGTGAAGATGTTTAGAGATAAGAAAACAAAGTTTGGAGTATTAAGGAACCTGTAATTCCTGGGGCATGGCTAGATTATAGAGCCCAGAGTGAAGAAAAGAACTAGGAAGTGAGGCTAAGGACAGACAGCGGAAAATGCAAAGTACCCATAGAAAGAGTGACTGACATGGTCAAGGGGATCTTGACCTAACACTTGAAAGATGAGTGCTATATGGATAACTAAAGGTACTTGGTGGCATTCCAGAATCTGGGCTAGTTTCTGGCATTGATCTATGAAACTTACATACTGGAGAAACTGACTTTATGTCTTAACCCTTGATAATCTAGGTCCTTTGTATGAAGTCCAAGAATGATACAGTTTAAGACTTGAAGTTCTATACTATCTGGGCCTCATCTTCCTTATATTTGTCTTCTGCTACATAAAAAAAGCTTTCTGCTCCAGTCTTAATAGCCATGCAGAGCTCCCAGGATTCACTCATTAATTTCTATCTGTGCCTTGCAGTGAATGCCGTGCCCTTTGTCTGAAAACTCTTTGCCTCCTTCCCTGATTTATCCACATCCAATCAGGTCCAGTTAAATCTCACATTTTGTATATGATTTTCAAATAAGACTGTTTCACTACAAGTTCTTCTAGATTGCAATAATATTTATTGTTTATTTAATTTACAAGTTTTGAGTAATGATGTGAGACAAGATGTAATCAACTTTTCATGTCAATATGCCTTAT